AAAAAAAAAACGGAGGTGAAGTCCCACTTGCCTCACATGGCCCGTGTCCATCCCCCCATTATCTGTGCAGCCCCGGGGGCATTTGGCTTGGGATCCCTGGATCTTGTCAGAGCCTTTAATTGGAGGGAACATGTATCCCCCTCCCTGATATTGCCTCAGAGAGGAGGTGTGGCCCAGAGGGGGGTGGGCCGGAGAGGCTGAGCTGGGGAAGGAGGGGAGGCTGAGGATGGACTGAGCTTGGGACCTGGGGAGTCACAGTCACCTCCGTTCCAGGAGAATCCTGACTCACCTGTGCTTTTGCTTTTGCAGCGCCTGCACCTCAGCGAGGATGTGGCTGGGGCCACGTTCATGGCAGCAGGCAGTTCAGCTCCAGAGCTGTTCACATCGGTCATAGGTAGGTGCCCACCTGGGGAACATCTCAGCCCTGTTCTCCCTGAAGGACAGGGCCTCTGGAAACGAGAACCCTGAGACCCCAAGGGGCAGAACACCAGCCTCCCACCTGCTGGGGTTGCTGTTATTATTTTATTAAAGTGATGCTTTTGCTTTGCATCAGTGGGTTCCAGAACCAGTACCAATGGTCCTGTGGGACAGAGGGCCCAACAGACATTAGCATCTCCAACCCCCTGCTGTTTCCTGTAGATCCTGAGAACAGTCTAATGCTTACAAAAGCTCCCCTGCACCCGCCTTGGGTGCACCCCACTCCAGCAGCCAGCCGATGTTGGTCTGTGTTTCAGGTGTCTTCATCACCAAGGGTGACGTGGGAGTGGGGACCATCGTGGGCTCCGCAGTGTTCAACATCCTGTGCATCATCGGCGTCTGCGGGCTCTTCGCTGGGCAGGTAAGACTGGAGGCAGAACGTGGCATGGGGAGGGGGAGGGGCAGCGTGGAGGTGAGTCAGCGGCCTGTCTCCCCGGAGCGCCGTGGAGTGCGCGGATCCATGTGAATAAGTAACCAGCCTGCGAATCTGAACGTGTCACGCTCATTTTGATATGTTACTGAACTGAACTAGAATGATATAAAAATAGTCTTAGGAATGGAAATAGAGTAAATGAGAGAGAGAGAGAGAGAGAGAGAGAGAGAGAGAGAGAGGAAATGGCAGATTTTCTTTTTTTGCTAAAAACAGTTTGCACTTGTCACAGTTTGGGGCGAGTTCTCTCTTTTTCGACAATGATCAAGCATTTGACTTCTGTGTCCACCTTAGCTTACTTTGGGGGTCATGAGAGGCTTTGCGTGCCTGCCTTGTATCTACAGAGACTATTCCACTGCCAGGAGGTGTTGTGGGGCCTGTGTCCATCTGGTGTCTGTCTTGGAAAGTCTTGGGAAGACACCCGAAGTCACCAAAGTAATGAGGCTGCTGGGCATCCGCAGCATTGCAGTGGGTAGCTGGGGGTCTGCGGCCACCCTGGCCAGCTCTGATGCCCTAGTTTCTTCGTAGGGAGATTATTCAGAAACACAGTCCTGAGCTCTCTGCCCAAACAGCCAGGACTCTGTATCTTCCAGGAAAAGCGAGTTCTAGTCACTAGCCCACGAGGGTCCCCAACATGCAGTATTGAGGCACCGGGTGACCCCACCAGCCTCCTGGCTGTGGAGGGAGGATCCAGGGTCCTGCTAGAAGCAGCTGATTGGTTTGCAGGGCTAAGGAAGCTCCTGCAAACCTTCTCCCACATCCTTTTCCAGACCCCTTGTTGTGTGGTCAGCTGGCCAGGGGCGCCCAGCTCTCAGGCTGACTCCAGAGTCTATAATGCCGGCTGCACCCTGGCACCACTGCCCTCCGCATCACCTGCTTTTCACTCCTGTCTGTCTTCTTTATGCCTACTGATTTGTCTGGGTTGCCTGGTGGGTTCGATGCTTCTGGGCAGCAAGGCAGAGCGATACCTTGGTCTCATCAGGGGTCGGCTCCAGAGCCCACAGTTGGACGCTTACTTCTGAGAGGAAGCTGCTGGGCAGCTGGGTCCATACGCGGTGATTGAGTTCCACCCAACTTGCAAGACTGAACATTTTCTTTCTTCATTCTTTCAGTTGGTTATCTCTTGTCTTAGATTTTGTGGACCCACGATGTGGCGTTTTTTTAGATCTCCTATAAATGTGGTTAGTATCGCAAAAAATGAGTGTCCGTCTTTGCCTTCGAGGCCATCTGTACTTTCTGGTTCTCACCTGTGCCAGCCGCCCTCTCATTGCCTCCCAGAGATGAAGCCACATTCTGCAGAGCCTGTGGTTGTCAGCACTGTCTTAATTAGCATAGTCACCATTAGCAGTATGAGTATTAGTGCTGTCTCTAGTTCATTAGTCATTTGTACCTGAAGCCTGATGCAAAGTCAGGCCCAAGAAAAGAAACAACTGGCTGGGAAGTGCCGAGTAAATACCACGCAACTAAGTACATAGCAGGTGGGTTGAATGCACTTGTGTTTCATAAGTTATTAGCAATGAGAGTAATCACTAGCTTGGTTAGAAGAGAAAAGACATTGCTTCTTGAACTTTAGCAAGTGCTGGTATCAGTCAGTTCACCCCCCACCCCCCACCCCGGGAAGGTCTTTGCCAAGCTCATCTCACATGACTGTGGAGAGAAACACCAACCACCACGATGGTGTTAGGAGCAGCCCGTGGGATGATTCTGGGGGTCGACCCTCCTTTCTGACTTTCCTTGTCCTGTGTCCACTCAGAGAGCTCCAAGGCCACCCAGCTCTCTTTTTTCAGACCTTTGTAGAATCCCGGAACTCTTCGCAGAGGGAGAAAAATGATGTTTTGGGAAGAACATGAGGCTGGGGATCAGACTGGCCTGGGTTTGAATCCTGACTCTGCCATTTGCTGACTGTGGAGCCTTGGAGAAGTTACTTTACCTCTCTAAGCCTCAGTTTTCTTGTCTATAGGATGGGTACAAGGGCATCTACCTCCTAGCATCGCTGTAAGGATGAAGCATAACATGTTCAGCATCAAGCAACACCTGGCCCACATGGTAAATGCTCAATAAAAGTTAGACACCATGATCAGCTCTCAGAAGAATAAGGTTCCCTGGGGTCCCTGCCACTAGATTCCACCCTAGGTCCCTGCAGTAATTTGACCTAGCCGTTGACAGAACTTTTTAATGAAACAGTGGAGCAGCCACAGGATGCCTGGTGAGGAGGGACAGGAAAGTCAGGGAGAAAGTCTTCTAAATGCAAATCAAGAGGAGGACGAGTTGGTAGGAGAATGAGCTCAGAGGACTGGTCCTTGCCTCTGTGTTTTCTGATCAGTGGGAGGAAAACAAAAACCTGTGAGACACGGGCACTGCCTTAGCTATTGAGAAGCCTTCCCGGGCAGTGGCGTTGGTGCAGAGGAACGTTAGTTACAGCGAACGATGGATATGGGGAATTGAGCTGATTAATAAATCTGGTCGTGGGTCTCACTTAGCAGTGTTACTTACGTTGCTCCACACTTTCATTTGCTGGGAGAATTACCAGTGAGTGCCCGTGGGCCTCTCTCTAATGTATCCCGGCGTGAAAGGCTGCTTGTGACCAAGTCTGCTACCCATCTGAAATTAAAGTAATAAAGCCATAAGGTTTGAGTTCCTGTCTCAATTAGGGTTTTGATGAATTCGATGGAATTAAATGTCTGCTGTATTTGCAGTTTGCAAACATAGCCAGTGCTTCGGTGTTCACCTAAGGTACTTTGGGGAGTTTTATGGGACAAGAAGGAAATTGCTTCTTAGAAAGTGGCTTCTAGAGAAATTCTTGGCATCCCGCCAAGACGTTTACAGGGCTGTGGTCCTGCAAGGTTTCTTTATTTAAGAGCAACAAATAATAACACAGAGAGAACCCCAAGCTCTGGAGGCAACCTGCTAATGTATCTCAGGGATTGTGTTGAAAGAACTTCATGCCAGTTTTGTAAAACAACGTACTTATGAATTTAAATCTACCATTCAGAGCGTATTAAGCTTTAAAAGCATAACCACAGACAGACAGTAAATAATTTAACTGAATCCCAGATACCGGACTTTCATATTCCGGTTATTACAGGCTGTCATGAGCCCCCTTGTCAGCTCTCCTGGATCCTAGAAACGTGCCTGGTGTTTTTTGGTGAGGTCCACCTAAGTTTGGCTGGGTTTGCCTTTCTTCAACTAACACCCTGTCCATGCCGGCCCCTTTACACAAACCCAGGCAGCACCCAGGGGTGGTGCCTCTGAATGGAAACCTGCCTTGGATTGGGTTTCCCCAGAAGAGAATCTAAGCCACAAGTTCAAGTTCAAGTAGTTTAGCTAAAAGGTGATCCCAGGACAGGCCAGCCAGGAAGTTGGGGAGTGAGATAAGGAAGAAAAAGCAGCCGAGGAAAGTGTGTTCCCAGCAAGTTCCCAGTGTGGGCAACTGGTTTGACTGCTTCTGGGGGGACTGGGAGACAGTGTAGAACACGGCCTCCAAGTTATCTCACCCAAGGGGGAGGGAGCAGGGGTGTTTACCCACCAGCCTCCCCCATCGTTGCCTAAGGACTGCCTTTAAGGGATGTGAATTCCCCAGTGTTCCAATTTTCTGGGCATAGGCAGGATGGACTTTGGGGTCCAGAGAAAACCCCTAAGCAAAGAGACATGTGAAGCTGGCTGTTGGAAGGACCTGAAATGGTAAAAGTGGGGAGATATGAGTGAGGTCCATAAAGCATGGCTATAAACTCAAAACTCAGCCTTCAGACATAAGCCATCCGGTGGGTCTCACCTCCAGCTCCCTGGGAGAAGACAAGCCTCAGTGCCAGGCTGCCTCCCAAGAGCTCAGGGCCAGGATAGCTTGCACATAGGGAAAGCCCTTCATGTTCAAAATAACAGCTGCCATTCTAGGTACTTTTGCTTCCACTTGGGATGCAGTAGACCTGAGATCCCATGGGAGCACAAAGAGAAATCTGGATAATGTAAAAATCATCCTTATATATGGATATCAAGGAACAGTGGAGACAAGAAGGGCTTGATGAACTGACTTCCAGAGAGAGGAGCCCATTGTACGTGAGCTGTGAGCTCTGGTGGGTCTGGATGCAGGCGAGCGCCAGGACCCAGAACTTCACTGGGTGGAGACAGGTCAGCTGAGCCTCAGCAAGGGTGGAGAGGGGTGGGATGCCCTGGAGTCTGAAAGATGATCCAGGGCAATAATGCTTTGATCCACCCGCCCCGGATCTGTTGAGGAAAAAAAACACGGAAGTGAAGGCAGGCCCGACAAACAGAAAGAAATCATTCCATCTGCCCCATCTCCCACCCTCTCCTGAGACCTGAAATTGAGGCACCCAAAGGGAATTGGGAATTCGGAATGCCAGACCAAACCCTGATAAGGACTGAGACTGGCCCTTCCTTCGGAAGCTGGATGCCATTGGGCTGAGCCGAGGTGAGCTGACATTTGAACCCAGGCTGACATGTGAATAATCACCTCCTCCCTTTAGTCGATAGAGGAGAGAAGAGCTGGCAATTTCCAGAGGGAAAAGAGCCCGTATTATTCTTCAGTTCTCAGTCTTCCATACATAAGTTCCCGGATGCACAGGACCTGTGAAGAGGCAGGAGCAAACTTATAACCAAGGGAAAACAGCAGCAGAAGTAAACCGCAGATGATCCAGATAAAGAATTGGCAGAAAAGAATTTTAAACTGTCTACCGTCTATCTTAAATAGGGAAAGGTGGGAAGAATTAGTGAGGATGGGTAATTTCAGCAGAGAAATGGAAAAAATAAGAAAAACCAGATAGATGCTGTATATGTTAAAAAATAATAAGTTACTATTTATTGAGTTTCACCAAACTGCAGGCACCACACTAGATGCTTTATAAATATTTGTAGAAATACACCCCCTGACTTTTAAGATAGTATTGTCCTCATTTACAGACAGGGAATTGAGTATC